CTCCCGGAGCTCACCACCAGGGACCGGGCGCCTGGTGTGCCTTCTCCCTCGTAGATGACTGCATTGCTATCTCCCTTGGTTCCTGGCAGCTTGGGTGGAACCCCCTGCTCACTGCCTTCCCTTGCCTACAGATCTAGACTTCCAGAGGAGCGGAAAGCAAGCCGGTCTGGTCAGTTACAGGAACCCTCTCTCCTGACTAGGCTTGAAACAGGGGCTTCCGACTCTACAAGAGTCCAGGATATTGGGTGGGTGAACTACAACACACACACACACACACACACACACACACACACACACGCAAGCACATACACACGCACACACGAGCACCTTGCCTCCTTGCAGTCTGGTGGCAGAACTGGTCACTCCCTTTGCTCATCTTGGAAACAGCCCTGGAGTCTCTTTGATTTTGCCAGCTTCCTTTCTTGGAACCCCACCCCTGTGGCCTGCTGAACGAGGCACCTAGCCTAAAGGCAGAGCTCGGCAGCCTGGTTCCTAGCAGAGCCCCCTCCCTCTCCAGTGGCCTGACTTTGCCCGTGGCTGGGTGAACCACTCGTGAAGTCTTCTGGTGCTCATCCGCCTCTCCTGCTCAGTAGCTCCCTGCCTTTCCCCCAGCCATATGCTAATAAGGCCCACCTGGTACCCGGGGGTGGGGGTGTAGGCATCAGGCTACTCTGCTTCCCATGGAAGTAGGTGCAGCTGCCCAGTGCTGGAAGGAAGATTCTCCTAGCCCAACCTGAAGTCCCCCAGAGAGGATCCCACTACCACCTCTGGGTGGAGATGGTGGTTTATCTGCGCTTCTCAGCCAGAGGCTTGTGAGGTGGCCGTGACAAATGTGGGTTGGATTAAATTTCTGTGAACTTATTTTGGTCTCACTGCTTCCTTTCCATCCCCAGGCCCAACATGAGGATCTGACCGGCAGAGAGGCCTGCAAGGCTGGCTTCTCCGAAGAAGACTACACTGCCTTGATCTCCCCGAATGTCCTGGAAGGAGAGAAACTACTCAGAGGTAGAGAAGCTTGTGTGTGTGTGTGGGGGGGGGGGGAAGGAAGTGGGACAC